TCTGCCTCCACACGTCACTTCCTAGTGCATTCCAGTTACTACTCTGACACTGAAAAAGTTCTTTCTAATGTCTCTGTGGCTCATTTGGGTACTCAGCTTCCACCTGTGTCCCCTTGAGCGTGTATCACCCGTGTTAACTAATCCATCCTTGTCTACCCTGTCAATTCCCCTGAGAATTTTGTATGTGTTGATCATGTCTCCCGAGCTCTTCTGTCTTCCAACGACGTGAGGTGCATTTCACGCAGCCTTTCCTCATAATTTATGGAAGAAACATTTTGCTCATTTGTCTCCGCCTCCACCGGGGATCGAACCCGGAACCTCAGGACTACGAATCTGAAGCGCTATCCACCCAGCTGTCAGGCGCCCCTAATCTATGGGTGAAATTCATCTATGGTGAAATTCCATCCGGACCTATAGCCTTTGTCACATCCAACTCTAGCAGAGGCTTCCTTACCTCCCCACTGGTAATCACAAACTCATCTAGTGGTATTTGGTTAGATATTCCCTCTCTTATCTTTGGAACTTCCCCTTGCTCTACTGTGAAGACCTCCTGGAATTTCTTATTGAGTTCCTCGCACGCTTCCTTGTCGTTTGTAGTGAATTTTTCTGCCCCCATTCTCAGTTTCATTACCTGTTCTTTCACAGTTATTTTTCTGCAGATGTGGCTGTGCAGCAATTTAGGTTGTGTCTTTGTCTTGCTTGCTATGTCATTTTCATGTTATCTTTCTGCCTCTCTTCTCACCCTGATTCATTCCTGGCACTCAGGTATCTTTCTCTGCTCCCTGGTGTTCTGTTATTGTTATAGTTTCTCCACGCCCTTGTACTTAGTTGCTTTGCTAGCTTACATCTCTGATTAAACCATGGGTTTTTTGTCTGCATTTCATTTTTTCCTCTTGGACTGGGGCGAACTTGTCTGTGAGTGTGTGTGTGTGTGTGTGCGTGTGTTTGTGTGTACTCACCCAGTTTTACTCATAACCTCCGGGCGCATGCAACAATGATTGTCGAATCCCGAGGTCATATCACATCAACACTCAGAGCTATGTGTGTGGAGTCAACTTTTACTCTCCTTCTAATTCAATTGATTCACTCCCAACCATCACACAAGAAGTGCTTCCTTATATCCTCACAGATCATGTGGGGGTCCCCGGCTTACACAATTGCTCCACGTTCTATAGTTTTCTAAAATGAAAATTTTCCCTGAGAAATTTGTCATGTTTATCTAATCTTTCTATCCCTCTGAAAAACATATGTTTTTAAGATATAAACAACAATCCCACTTTTTATATTACGTTATCAGTCCTCCAGGACTCCAGCGTTGTGCGTTTCAGGTCTATCAACCATTCCCTCAGAGTCTTATTTTTTGTGTTTTTTCCTGAACTCTGAGACTAACCTTGTGGCAAACTTGTGTACCTTCGTCAGCTGCGATTTGCCTTTTTTTATGAGGTGAAAACTCCATGCTGGAGCTGCATACCCTAGCACTGGACTCACGTACGTGTTATGACTGGGACAAGGATCACCTAATACCTCCATACTCAAGTGGCACCCTCGAAGGGAGGCCTAAACTCTCAGTTGGAAACCAGTTGTGTGTCTCTAATATACTTTATTGTGAGTGTTCGTAGCCTGGTTTGTAGAACTTTACTCTTTTGATTTTTGTGATCCTGGGTTCGAGGTTCTAATGGGCCAATTGAATGAAATGGTATTAACTACGTTTACTCCGGTTAGTAATTGTAAAAATATATATATATATATTTATATATATATATATATATATATATATATATATATATATATATATATATATATATATATATATATATATATATATATCACAAAATTAAATGGGAACTGAGATTCATAATAATTAAAAAAATTTAATGAGATTTAAAACTCACAAATTAAACTAATACTGGTATATTCTCGCTGGCCCCCATAAAGTCTCCAGAAGGAACTACGTGTATATAACTTCATCCCCCGTAAATTTCCAGGAATTTCCACACTTGAGAGAAGAAAATGGAAATATTAGTGCCAGCGGAAAATGGAAGGGTTTGCCTTTTCTAATATTTCTCCGTTTTCTTTGCATTATGTATAAAAAAAACGAGAGTTATGGTGGAGGCCATAAAGTGTGGGGCGGCCGGTGAAATACTTTCTGTTGTTTTTTTTTGTATAAAGCACACAAGGAGCTGCTTGGACACGATCTGTGACGGATTACGACCTTATCCTTTTTTTGGAGGGAGTGTGTGTGTGTGTGTCCTTCTGTATCCTGTCGTGGTGTGTTGGAAAATGGCTCGGTTTTCTGTCGTGGTGAGCTGGAAAATGGCTCGGTTTTCTGTCGTGGTGAGCTGGAAAATGGCTCGGTTTTCTGTCGTGGTGAGCTGGAAAATGGCTCGGTTTTCTGTCGTGGTGAGCTGGAGAATGGCTCCGATTTCTGTCGTGGTGAGCTGGAAAATGGCTCGGTTTTCCGTCGTGGTGAGCTGGAAAATGGCTCGGTTTTCTGTCGTGGTGTGTTGGAAAATGGCTCGGTTTTCTGTCGTGGTGAGCTGGAATATGGCTCGGTTTTCTGTCGTGGTGAGCTGGAAAATGGCTCGGTTTTCTGTCGTGGTGAGCTGGAGAATGGCTCGGTTTTCTGTCGTGGTGAGCTGGAAAATGGCTCGGTTTTCTGTCGTGGTGAGCTGGAAAATGGCTCGGTTTTCTGTCGTGGTGAGCTGGAGAATGGCTCGGTTTTCTGTCGTGGTGAGCTGGAAAATGGCCCGGTTTTCTGTCGTGGTGAGCTGGAGAATGGCTCGGTTTTCTGTCGTGGTGAGCTGGAAAATGGCTCGGTTTCTGTCGTGGTGAGCTGGAGAATGGCTCGGTTTTCTGTCGTGGTGAGCTGGAAAATGGCTCGGTTTTCTGTCGTGGTGAGCTGGAGAATGGCTCGGTTTTCTGTCGTGGTGAGCTGGAAAATGGCCCGGTTTTCTGTCGTGGTGAGCTGGAGAATGGCTCGGTTTTCTGTCGTGGTGAGCTGGAAAATGGCTCGGTTTCTGTCGTGGTGAGCTGGAGAATGGCTCGGTTTTCTGTCGTGGTGAGCTGGAGAATGGCTCGGTTTTCTGTCGTGGTTAGCTGGTCTGCTGTAGTAATAAATAATCCACCTCCTTCATGAATTTAAATAAGTTCATTCACCTTCGTTGAGCTCTCATATTTATTTATTTTTTAATATATTTTTTCCCGTTGAAGTTGACATTAAATAAAGACAGTCAGACAGAGAGACGTTGCCACTATCTAAAATGATCACCCCAATGATTAGCGACGGCTGAGATTAACTCGCAGATTAATTAACTCTTAGATCAACTAAGATTAATCTAAGATCATGATTAACTCGCAGCTCTTTGTATGCCTTAACTGACTGGAACCAGCGTGTCATTATGATCCAATTGTTCAAGTAGCTGATGAACTTTTAAGTCATTTTCAGAGTTCTTTGGTTTGAAAGTTATGATTTCGGGGCTTAGCGTCCCCGCGGCCCGGTCCTAAGATTAACCAGTTTGGTTAACCCAAGTTTGGTCGTTTTCTCACAGTACTTTGTGCGGCCGTTCAATTGTTGTTACTTGAGCGGCTCCGTAAGTGTATTTGAACAACGGGTCGTTCAGACACTTATATATCGTCAGGTGTGGTCAGGGACCGGGCCGAGTGGGACATTGACCCCGGGATCAACACAAACGTTTATGTCGGACCAATTCTGGAATCTACGACACCACCGTGGAGTCCTTATCTCGTTAAACACAAAACTGGAGAAAGTTCAGACGTATGACATCAGACTAGTCTCAGAGCTGAGAGGTATGAGCTACGAGGAAAGTGTACGTCACTGGAAGAGAGAAGAAGCACGGGAAACATGATTACCACATACAAAATACCCATGGGGAATAAACAAAGCAAACAAAGACAGATTTTATAGCAGGAGTAGTACACGAACAAAGGGACACAGGTGGAAACAAAACCCCTAAATGAGCCACAGAGAATTTATATAAAAAAAATTCAATGTTAGAGTAATTAACAAATGGAATACACTAGACAGTGATCTGGTGGAGGCTGACTCCATACACAGTTTCGAATGCAGATATGATAGAGCCCAATAGGCTCAAGAAACTGTACGCAGGTTGAGTGACGATTGAGAAGCGGGACCAAAGAGCCGAAGCTCAAACCCAACATGCATACAGGCGAGTACAACTGAGTACACACATACATACACACATGACATGAGAGCTCGGGGAGACATGATCGCGACCTACAAAATTTTCAGAGGAATTGACAGGGGTAAATAAAAGTAAAATGTTTAACACGGGTCGAGCGCGAACAAGGGGACACAGGTGGAAACTGAGTACCCAAATGAGCTACAGAGACGTTAGAAAGAACTTTTTCAGTGTCAGAGTAGTTAACAGGTGGAATGCATTAGGCAGTGATGTGGTGGAAGCTGACTCCATACACAGTTTCAACTGTAGATATGATAGAGCCTACTAGGCTCAGGAATCTATACACCTATTGATTGACAGTTGAGAGGCGGGGATCAAAGAGCCAGAGCTCAACCCCTGCAAGCACAATTAAGTGAGTACAACCAGATGAGCACACACACACACACACACACACACACACACACACACACACACACACACACACACACACACACACACACACACACATACACACACACACACACACACATACACACACACACACACACACACACACACACACTCACACACACACACACACACACACACTCACACAGAAGAGTATAATTCTGCTAATCGTTCTCCAACTGATTATTTGCCTTTGCTCTTTGCTAATATCATCAGTGCCGTATAGTTATGATGACTCTCAAGTTTACTCTCTCTCTCTCTCTCTCTCTCTCTCTCTCTCTCTCTCTCTCTCTCTCTCTCTCTCTCTCTCTCTCCCTCCCTCCTCTCCCTCCCACCCTCCCTCTACCTTGCCATTAACCATTGTATAACCCTCTCTCTGTGTCTCCACCTCAG